ACGTGAGTAGAGAAATGGGGACTCTCACTCCGGTGGGAGGAAAAATGCTGGCGGCGCCTTGCAAAAAGGAGTTGGGAGCAGTTGGCGGTAAGAGCGAAAAACTGCGCGCGCCCAAAAAAAAAGGGTGCGAAGCAACGGAAAGCCTGCCTCCTGCGCTCGCCAGCTGGGCTCTGCTCTAGGAAGGAGGCTCTGGCAAACCACTTCCGAAACACCTTGCCTTGAAAACTGCAGGGACTCGTCCAGGCAGTTGCTGCAGAATCAGTAACGATTGAGTGAGGATAAAAAAAAAAATTTCAGATTATAATTAAAAATACAATATATACATGTAAAAGTATCAAACAATCAGAAGGGCTAGAAGCAGTTAGAAAAGCTACTAAATAAAGCTAGCCCGTGCTGAGGAAAACTAAAAGAGTTTGAACTAAACTAACTCCAAATAAACTAAGGCATTCCACCAGACGGGGAGCAACTGTTAAAAAGGTTTGGCAATCACTGTTTTCATGAATCTATAATGTTGTGCAGCATATTTATCTATGATTAGCTAAACCATGCTGTAAACTTCAGATCCCATCTTTAGCTTCACCAATCATCTTTCTGAAACATGGGTGGTTTGTGGCTGGTTGTGCCCACCACAACAGTCATTTTGAAGTAGCATCCATGACCTTTTCTCAAAATGTTAAATGTGCTCATGAGCTGGAAAAAAGGCTGGGAGTAAGGGAGTACATTAGCCAGGATCTGTACCTCAGCATCATCTGCTGATTGGTAGTATGCCAAGCCATGATTGATTGATTGATTATGTGCCATCAAGTCAGTGTCAACTCCTAGTGACTACATAGATAGATTTTCTCCATGACAATCTGTCCCTAACCTGTTTCTTTCAGGTCTCCCAATGGTTTCTCCCAATGGTGCTCTCACTGAGTCTGTCCACCTTGCTGTTAATTGTCCTCTTCTCTTTCTTTCCACCTTTCCCAGCATTAGACCCTCTTCCAGAGAGCTGGGCCTTTGCATAATGTGTCCAAAGTAGGATAATTTGAGCCTGGTCATTTGTGCCTCAAGTGAGAATTCTGGGTTGATTCGTTCGATGATCCATTGGTTTGTTTTCTTGGCTGTCTACTGTATTCTCAGGAGTCTTCACCAACACCAAAGTTCAAAAGAGTCAATATTCTTCCTGTCTTGCTTCTTCAAAGTCCAACTTTCGCTTCCATAGAGTGTCACAGGGAATACCATGGCTTGCATGAGGATTTTTCAAACTGATGGGGTTCTGTGAGAAAAAGTTCACTTGGATGAAGCCAGAGACATGCACAGAAATAATTCTAATATACAAATACTCTCTCCCACACACACATATCCATTTCCACAGCCTGAAACTGGCTGAAACCCTCTGCTCTATACTGTTGCAAACAATTCCGGATGAATCTCTGTGAGAGGTTGTGGGGAGGGTGGAAAGTAATGGAAGAGGTAGTAGATATAAACAGTCAAGAGCAAAGGTGAGTCAGTTGGCAGCTTATCTTATAAATGGCAACGTAGCTCAAGTGCAAGAAAGCTGAAAAGAAGCATTTACAATCATTCTAAGAGACTCTACCTTAACAAATCCATGATAAATGAAGGTTCGAAATTCCTCTTGCAGTTTCCAAGATTTTGTAGTTACCCTTTCCCCTGGCTTGCATTAAAAATAACAGAAATCTGCGTGGTTCTTGCTTGCTTGATCTTGCCCTCTTGAATGTGGCTTGACAATCTCTTACACTGCATGCTATGGCATGTCAGTTAGGAGTCTCTCTCTCCCCACATCCTTCAAGGAGGAACACAATCTCTTAAGTCACATTTTGCATTCATTTCCTTTGGCCACCTTGAACCAAAGGGAGATTATTGTCCTAAACAAGGTCACACCTTCAGCGATTGCTTGGAATGTGTGTTCGGTCAAGTCAGCCTTACGCCCTAGAAAATTCTCTGGAATGTCACCAACTTTCCTAAGGCAACAATCATGTCCTGGACAGCCCTATCAGATTGAATCTGTCCCAAATGAAACAAAAAGGAAAACCAACTCCATTCTGAAAGGAGGGGAAAAGATTTCAACAGCTCATGGTTTGATTTAGTTGTGCTTAGACAAATCTCTACCCATGCTGGACATCGTGAACCACTGGTGACCCTACACAAGGCCCAGTCATTGGATGAACAGTCCAAAAATTTGGTGGCTAAATCACCATCTCTTTTCTGACATTATCTGGTCACGCATCATGTCAATAAATGGTTTGTTTTAGCTTTGGTTTCTTGAACTAGCCATACATTATATTTGGCAGGCCACAATGGCTAGTCTTATATATCACGTGTGGGCCAAACTGAACAAATCATATTATGGCTTGACAAGATATATGAACTTCAGCGGCAATCTGATTTGCCTGACATAATGATGAAAAAGAGACTAATGTATAGAAATGACTAAAAATGAACCCAAATGATTATTAGAACTACAAGAACTATAGAAACATACAAGATAGGAAGCTAATCTAAGATTGGGGACCTATTGCAACCCAAATTCAGATTATAATTTGGCATCCATCCTGATGGCTGTCTTCTAGTGGTGGGTGGATCCAAAGTGCATATTCCTAGTGTAGGTAGGCACTTTTTTTTTTTAATCCAGATCATATTTAAAATTTTGAGGCATGTATCGGGCACACTGACATGGTTGTCATGAGAGACTGCCTACTTGCAAGGAGTTTGTTGCGATGGGCATGGCCAGTCATAAGACACATATTATCAAAAGGATGCTCTCTAGCATCCTAGTGGCATCTTTGCGGGGTCAAAGGCATTCGATAAGATGTCAGAGGTTGATGTTCTGGTTTGCTGCATGTAAGCTTCCTATTTAATATTTTTATGAAAAGATTTTTTAAGAGTCACAAAGGGCAAAACACTTAGTGGGTGCCAATGGAATATCTGATGACACTGTGCCCAACTCATGTCTAGCCTTCTGTGCTGAAATAGCTTCAGCCACAATTAGTGTGGATCTCCTTTTTTGCAAACACCGAGCACAGTTACTCCCATAGGTGAGTTGTTGTTCAGTCGTTAAGTTGTGTCCGACTCTTTGTGACCCCATGAACCATATTGCGCCAGGCC